TATTTAGAGACAGGGTCTCGCTGAGTTGCTCAGCACCTCGCTAAGTGGCTGAGGCTGGCCTCCACCTGGCGATCCTCCTGCCTCAGCCTCCCGAGCTGCTGGGGTGACGGGCGTGCGCTCTCCTCTGCCAAATAAAGCCAGTCCCTCTATCTGACTCGGAAGCAACCTGCAGAACTGAAATTAAATCCAAGCTGTGGAGGCCTTGAGAAAGGGTGTCACCAGAGGGGGACACGGGTCACTTCTTATGTCCCGGCTGGTGGCCATTTGGAAGTGGCCACAGAGGCTTCAGGAGGAAGCCTCGTGGGGCCAGCTGATGGCTCCTTTTTCCAGGGGGGACTTCTGCTGGGTGCCGTTCTGCCCCGCTCTCCCCGGCTGCTCCCCGGCTGGCCCTGACAGTTGGCAGCTCCGCCACCGTCTATTTTTAGTGCTCGGTGGGCTGGCGTGTCCTGGTCACATGCTGTTGGAGCTCCCACTTCAGAGAGGCTCTGGCTCGCAAAACAGACTCTTCCCCGCAGCCACCGCCAGGTTTCAGCAGGAGCCCCGCATGGACAGGTGGCATCTGCAAGGGACGTGGGTACGAGAAGCCAGCACACACCCTACTTCTTCTTTTTTTTTTTGGGGGGGGGGCGGGGTGCTGGGGATGGAACCCAGGGGGTGCTGAACCCACGGAGCCCCGTCCCCAGCCCTTTTTCTATTTTATTTAGAGACAGGGTCTCCGTGAGCTGCTCAGGGCCTCGCTCAGTGGCTGAGGCTGGCCTCCATTTCCATCCTCCTGCCTCAGCCTCCCCAGTGCTGGGATGACAGATGTGCCCCCCACCACGCCCGGCTATTTCATTCCTTTTTATATTCTTTTTTTTTTTTACAATAAAATAAAGAATTCCGTACCGTTCCTGACGGGCAAAACGTCCAAAAAAACCCATTTGGAGCTGAACTTTTGCATCGAGGTTCCCAACCCTGACTCGTTCCTTTCTCTGTTCCGCCGTGAAAACCCCCAGGACGATACTCCTCAATCCATGTTTCTTGAAGGAACGATGAACACATTCCTTGAGAAATGAGAGCCCTGGGGGGGGGATTCTGTTCCCATAAGACAGACAAAAGGATCCCCCAAGACATTCTGAAGCTACTCATTTGAATTCCTGAAACAAATAAAATGGGGGACGTGTACAGTAGGGTCACAGAATGGGAGTCGACGACATTATTCGACGGAGGCAGGTTTCTTATTAGGAAATAAGAGTTCCAAGAATTTGCCGTGTGTGTCATGGGCAGGTCACTGAGATGTGGCCGGAGGTCGGCAATAGTGATAAGTAGCTGTTAAATGCTGCAACGGTCAGCTCTCCTGGACTGTAACACAACGGATGAGAAAAATCAACTTATAAAGAGGAAAGGTTCATTTGGCCTTGCTGTCCGTGGTTGGGGGTGGATCCTTTTGTTTTGGGACTGTGACCAAGTCCCAAATGTCACCTCCTAGTGGGGAGTAGGTCGTGCAGGAAAGCTACTCACTTCATGGCCAAGGACAAGAGAGAGAGAGAGGAAGAGAAAGAAGTACCTCATAATTTCCTTTGAGGGCATGACCCCAATGACCTAAAATCTCCCATTAGGCCCCGCCCCTTAAAGGAGATAGCCCCTTCTAATAGTGCCAAACTGAGGACCCAGTTTCTAATCCACGGGCCTTGGAAGAACATTCTAGATCCAAACTAGAGCAAATCCATAGAGGGGATTGAACCCAGGGGGACTTGACCAATGACCACATCCTCAGCCCGTTTTTTTTTTTTTTTTTTTTAATATTTTATTCAGAGACAGGCTGTTGCTGAGTGGCTTAGGAAGCCTCACTAAGTGGCTGAGGCTGGCCTCCACCTTGCCATCCTCCTGCCTCGGCCTCCTGAGGTGCTGGGAGGACAGACATGTACTTTGCTCTCGACTCCACAATCACTCAGTAAAGGACTGTTTCCCAGCAGCAGCCTCCACCCAGACCCTCTCTTCCGCCTTTGGCAACTTCCCAAAAGAAAAGCCATGTCCTTCCCCACTGAGTGCCCAAGGTCACTCTGCTATAAAGCCATGTCCTTCCCCACTGAGTGCCCAAGGTCACTCTGCTATAAAATTAAAAAAAAAATTGGTGAGGAAGAAGAGGAGGAGGGTAAAGGGGAAGGGGACAGCGGACGGCAGGGCATGGGACCCACGGCGCATTCCATTCCGCTAGACCTGTCTCAAGCTCACGGCCACCCAAGCCCGGAGGTGGCCCCGTGAGCGGAACCCTGGGAGGGCCACTCGCTCTGTGTCTCTCTCATAGTTACGAAGCCAAAAAAAAAAAAAAATTGTCCACACATTTTTTCAAACGTTTCCCACAAAAACACCTTCCTTGTGAAACGGGTGGCCATCTGTTTTGGAACCGCGTCCCTCAAGGAACCTGGACTCAAATCTGTCCCCCTGCAGCGCAGCGTCGCTTCCGTCCCCCGAACCTTCTAAATATTCTTTCTCCCTCGGCGTGGGACCCCGGCCCCGGGGAGACCGCACCTCGGGGCGCCCGGGACACGCCTGGCCGCTGCCGCCTCCCTGCCCCTGAGTTACAGAACAGACCACGCCCACTCACACTCACTCACACTCACACTCACACACACTCACACTCACTCACACTCACACTCACTCACACTCATGCACACACATTCACACACTCACACTCACACACACTCACTCACACTCATGCACACAATCACACATATTCACACACTCACACTCACACACTCATGCACTCACATTCACACACTCACACTCACACACACACACTCATGCACACACTCACACACCACACACCACACACTCACGCACACACACCCACACACGCATACTCATACACACACACTCACACACTCATGCACACAATCACACATTCACACACACTCACGCGCACTCACACTCATGCACGCACTCACACACACCACACACTCATACACACTCACACACACTCTCACAATGCACTCATGCACACTTACACACTCATGCACACACACACTCATGCACACACACCCACACAATCTCACACACTCACACATACACTCACTCTCACACTCACATTCATGCATGCACACGCACACTCACACTCATACACACACTTACACGCACTCACATGCACACACTCACACACTCATTCTCACAACACAATCATGCATGCACACGCACACTCACACGCATACGCACACTTACACTCACATGCACTCACGCACTCACACTCTCAGACACACTCACATACACTCACACACTCATACACAGGCACACTCACACAACACATTACTCACACGCACACACTCAGATTCATACACATGCACACTCACACATTACTCACACTCACACACACTCATATTACACACACTCTCAGACTTACACACATCTCACACACGCTCACACACTCACACAGAGACACACACACACACACATCTCTCTTTAGCACTTTCCCTCAGATATTTGCACACATCAGCTCACTGACGGTGGAGGAGGGCGCCTTTATACTTGGTAAATAAAGGGGACGCTCTGTGGCCTCCGCAAGCGAACTTTTAATTTATTTATTTTTATTTTATTTTTGGTGCCTGAAACTGAACCCACGGAGGCTTCACCCCTGAGCCCCGTCCCCAGCCCTATTTTATATTTTATTTAGAGACAGGGTCTCCCTGAGCTGCTTAGGATCTTGCTAAATGGCTGAGGTCAGCCTCCACCTTGCGATCCTCCTGCCTCAGCCTCCCCAGCCGCTGGAATGACAGGCGTGATCTCCTGCACCCGGCAGCTAGTGTATGTTTATGAGGGTTTTTTTTTTTTGGTTTCCTTTTATTCTCTGTGGTGCTGGGGATGGAGCCCGGGGCCTGGCCCAGGCTGAGCAGGTGCCCTGCCACTGAGCTACACCCCCAGCAGCAAATCTATTTTAAAACCTGCCGTGTTGGGCAGACAGGCGGATTCTTCCGGGAAGGGTGATATTTTGGGCCAAAACGGCTGCTGGGCGGAGCTTTCATGACCGTGTTCTGGGATTCAGCCTCTGAGGCTCTCCCCTGGGTAGGACCCGCAGCCCTCCCTCCCGTCGCTCCCGTCACCCCGGCCGGCGGCATGCATGGCAGACCAGGGGTGTCCAGTGAGTCACCGTGAGCAGCCGGAAGGCCCCGGGACGTGGGCACATCAGCCCCGGTTTCCCCTGGGCTATATTTAGGGTGTCACAGGAAACCCCAAAACCGCTGGCCTTCACACCCCTGCAGAGGTGGACCGCCCTCCTCCACTCCCGCCTCCGCGCCTCTCTCCCCCACCAGGTCCTGCCTGGGATCCCCTCTTCGGACCCGGCCCCCCCAGAGGACCCTGGTGGCCCTCTCCATATAAGAGAGTCATGGAGATAGATGCCTGTTATCTAGAGGCTCCGGAGGCTGAGGCAGGAGGATCGCAAGGTGGAGGCCAGCCTCAGCCACTCAGCGAGGCCCTCAGCAACTCAGGGAGACCCTGTCTCTCAATAAAATAGAAACAAGGGCTGGGACGGGGCTTATCAAGCACCGCTGCGTGCACCCCAGTTCCCTCAGCTTACTGAGAAACCACCTGAACCCCCACAAACCCGGTGCTTTAAGACGAGCCACGAGGCCCTGCCGTTAGACTCAGCCTCCGATTTACAGGCATCAGTGTTGTTACAAATCGTGTTAATTGAACCCAGGGGTGCTTCACCCCCAGAGCCCCGTCCCCAGCCCTTTTTCTATTTTATTTAGAGACAGGGTCTCGCTGAGTGGCTCAGGGCTTCGCTGAGTGGCTGAGGCTAGCCTCTACTTTGCCATCCTCCTGCCTCAGCCTCCCGAGTTCCTGGGGATCACTTGTTGAATGTCTTTCTTGGGGGCAAGTTCTCGGGGTGCTGGTCACACCTATTTCTCGGCTCACACGACTACGCGTCCTCAACTTCGAAACAGTCCCATCATGCAGAAAGAACACAGATGGCGGTGGGACCCACGAGGCCCGGCCAGCCTCCCCTGCCCCACCCGATCACTCACCGTGGTCATGCGCAAACACCAGGATGTCCAGCCCCATCAGCATCTGAGCCAGCTCGTCATAGCGGCCACAGTGTTCCCCGGCGCCATGGGACACAAACACAAGGGCCCTAAGGAGGGAAGAAGGAACTCTGTTAGCAAAGTCTGAGAGACCCCCCACCCCCGGGTGGCGCCTAGAGTCACAATGAATCAGGACCAAACCCTGGGGGGCTGTGGGGCTGGGGGCTCTGTGGCAGAGCGCTGGGCCTGGCACATGGGGGGGAAGGAAAAACTGGACTTTGAGCCCAGCATGTTGGTGCCCACCTGTCATCCCAGTGGGGAGGCTGAGGCAGGAGGATCGCAAGAGGGAGGCCAGCCTCAGCCACTTAGGGAGGCCCTATGCAACTCAGTGAGACCCTGTCTCTAAATAAAATCTATTAAAATGGGGGTGTGGGGGGGGTGCTGGGGATGTGGTTCATGTGGATGTCACTTGTGCTGATTCATAGCTACGTGCCACGTAGAGGGTGGGCACGTGGCAGGCTCCCATCGGGGCTGGTTCCCCCCCTCCCCTGGGGGGGCCAATTTTGGTTCTTAAATATCTTAATTTTCCAGACTCGGATTCTTAAAAGAAAATCCCTGGGGACCTCGAGAATTGGAGACGCTGGCTGCCAGCTGTCAGGGGTGAGAGTGGGGGCGGGGAGCCGCAGATGGATCATCCCAGCTGCTATTTTAGAGAGCCTCTGACTACCTGTCAGTTCCTTTGTTCATGCCACCTAGCAGGGTTTGAATCCTCCCCGTTCGTTGGTCGTCGTCCCTGAATGCTTTCTCTTCTTTACAGAGGAGAGCAAAATTCAGAGACGTCAAGTCCACCCGCCCGGGTCACACAGCACATTTGGTTAAAAAACGTATCTCAGAGTATCTCCCCACCTGGATATGCTTTCAGGTCTAGGGTGGGCTCAGAACCCAGACCTCATCTCAAGAGAGGCCTCCTCATCTTCAGTTCTGTGAAGGTAGGAGCTGGAAGTGCCTAGGCAGGAGCCAGGTGCTGGGTGTGTTGAGTGGAGAACCAACTTGCTCAGAATCCTGTGCTTGTCCTTTCTACCCTACCTTTTGGCCAAGTTGTATGAACTGGTATTTTATCTTGGTTTCTAAATCACCTTTAGCATCTGTCTCCCCCCTGTTCTTTCTTTCCTGAAAGCTGCTGAGGCTGGCTGGCCTCCAACTGGAGATCCTCCTGCCTCAGCCTCCTGAGTCGCTGGGAGGACAGGTGGGCGTCACGACGCCCGGCTACTTCTCTCGATTTTGCTTTGGGCAGATTACAACTGCCCTCTGGATGTTTCTGGGGCCAGCCGTCCACAGGGCTGGAACCTCTAACCAGTCACTATTTCCATATTGAAGGGGCTGAGCTTCAGGAAGGGATGGTTCAAGCACTAGCATCCTTTAGGAACGCAGCAGCTGCTGGATTAACTCATGCTACAGTTTAACTGCAGAACGGTCAAAGGATGAGGCCGGATCTTGTCATAAATCTGCTCCTCATCGCAGTCAGGGGCCATGGGGCAGGAGAGAGCTT